GTTTTTGTCCCCCCCCTCCCCCCCCCCCCCCCCCCCTTTGCTGGGGCTCTGGCCATTTCCACCTCCCTGCTCTGGCTTATGTATGCTAATGATATCAGTGATGTATGTGATCAAAGGAATGTTCTAGATTCCAGAGCAATCATTCAATGTCGTTCCCTCTCTGCTTGCCCAGTTTTCCTCTATGATCTCCAACAACAGACGCAGGAAGTGGAGGGAAAAGGGGGTTGTTGTTTTTTTATACCGATGTACATGGAGATAATGAGGACATGAGAACGCAGCATGGGTACAGGACGGGGGGTACTCCCTATGGAGGGGGTGCAGGAGGTACACTGACGCCAACCTGGATGCAATCATCGGTGTGGAATATAATACGGAATATAAATAGACTTTGGCCTCTCAGGAGCTCTTTAGCTGGTGACATGATGGATCAATGAAGCAGCACGGAACCCGGGAGGAGGAAGAATTCTCAGGTCATGTTGTCACTTTATGTCATTTGAAGCTTAATGACGCCTGTGATGAAGTGCAGCTGAGGGCTGGGAGACGGATATCAGTCCTATACACTAACCGCCTTGTGTCTTCATTGCTGTGCAGGCTCTAGATGTATCTGTTGTGTTCTATTGTTAAAGCCTATCTCTATAGCTGGCAGTATAATGCTCGCATGGCTGCAACACAACGTCTCATGATTCCATTATATATACACGCACACATACACGCACGCACTCCATGCAGACATTTTTAAACTGCAATGAAGGATTTAAAGGTGAACTCCGGGCAGATGTAAAACCCAGTTAATGCGGCTCTGCGATCATTTGTACATCGTTGCATTATTATTTTAAATGCAAACACTCGGATTTGACCCGTTATCAGTCCTCTACATAGCAGGGCTCGGAATGGGAGAGAGAGAAGCAGCTGATCAGTTTTGCTGCAGTGCAAGGAGCATGCTGATAGAATGAGAGAGCAATGTGACAGAGGGATGAGCTCATCAGTCATTTGCTTCTCCTTTCACTGTCCAGTCACACGTAAAACAGCTCTCTAATATGACAGCGGTCATACATAGGCAGCCATTGATGACCCCCTTCTCAAACAAGCTCCGGCTGCCTGACTATCTCTGCCACTGACCCAGAACAAGCATGCAGCCAGGGAAGTCATTGCCAAATTAGAACTTATTCTACATACTTGTTCCTGGTCACAGAACACAGAGGTGTAGGATGTGCACCTGATTGGGTATTCAGAGTGAACACAGCTTACCCTTGCTGAGCGAGTGTCTCCTATAGTAGATCGGCCTCCTGAAGGGCTCTGAGCCACTGAACCACCATTACAGCCTTTCACAGTGGACACAGTGTATACTTCAAGAGCCTTTTGACACAATGAGACAGGAAAGGAAACCATGAATATTATTTACAATGTAGGATAAGTTCTGTCAGGTGTGTGTGTGTGTGTGTGTGTGTGTGTGTGTGTGTGTCCCGACGGATCCCGGTGACCAATGTCACAGGAAGTCACGAGAAAGCAAAACATTTGGCGTTGTCACTGGAAGAAGATAGACATGGCACAGCAATAATAATCAGTGACACAACAATGGCCACGGGGCTGCTATGGGGCCTGGGGAGGGAGGGGGCCCATCAGGGAGAAATAAACTGTGAAGCTTCCACTATTGAAGGACTCGTCACAGATCCCCGCCGCCCCTCTGTGTGATAAGAAGCACAAGCTGTCCTAATGGTGCGGACTCATTACCCTGAAATTCTGCTACAGTCTGAAAGTAACCCTAATGCAGCCAAAAATCCCACAGGGTCTCCTCAGCTGAGGGTTGTAGTTCTACAGCTGAGGGTTGTAGTTCTACAGCTGAGGGTTGTACTTCTACAGCCAAGGTGTGTAGTCATAAAGCTGAGGGTTGTAGTTCTACGGCTGAGGGTTGTAGTTCTACGGCTGAGGGTTGTAGTTCTACGGCTGAGGGTTGTAGTTCTACGGCTGAGGGTTGTAGTTCTAC